GCCTGCATTGTTTCGAACTTGTTGTATTGTTTGCACACAGCTTGGCTCAACAAAGCCCAATTGAAACGCATAGACGCTTTCCAGTGCCACTGTTTGAGGGAAATTTGTCCATTCCGATGCAACAAGTGGTCGCCAGCACAGCATTTGGTGGCCCCTGGAAGCAACCCCTGCGGCCGGGCAACTGCGAGGGCCCGGAGCTGGATGTTGTGGTGCAGTGGGCTGACCATGTCGGCCCCAGCCGCTTGCCTTTGCGGCCCTGAGCTGGCAGCTGGTAGTCGGCGTGCCATAGGACTCTGTGGATCAGGCATGGGAAGGTCCGTGAAAAAAAATTAGCATTCCCCAGCCGTTCGTCACCAAGTGTTGAGTCAGGCCAAGGAACCCGTGTTATCCAAGACGTTGCTGTACAGGCAGTTACTGCTTGTGAAAAGTGTGACAGATCTGCGGACCTGATGCGGACATGACTTTTCATGGACGGCTCGGCAGTTGACCGCAACCACGAGGTCGTCTTAAAATGTGTGTATTGGGCGACCGACGTGAGCAAAATTGTGTGTATTTTGGCGGACGACCCTTCCCGTGTTGAAGAAATTTTGGAAGCTGCCACATCCTCAGTGGAAGCAGCGCGTGGGGAGGTTTTGTGTTGGTGCAGGACAGCTGGTGCCATGCTTTGGTGTAGCACAGTTGGACTTGCAAGCGAGCACTTGACAACAACATTTGTGTTCAAATCGAGTTTGTCAATTGCGATTTGAGATTGACGTCTTCCACATGGCATGATTTATCGAGTGCAACAAGGGTAGATCATCGTTTCGGCCAAACCTTTGTGCCAGGTGGCAGCGTATTTTAGTTCGCGGACCACAACCACGTCACTATCATTCGGGGCATCCAATGCCGGCTTTGGAAACTATTTAAACCAGCATCTTGCACACAACTGGTCTGCGAATGGGTCACTACAATCGTGACCGCCCAAAATTTGCACCATCGCTCGAATTGAAGCAGTCGGCAAAAACGGAACTCGACAAGCATGCAATCCGGCAAGTCATTGGGTTTGCTATTTTTTCGGCTCCATCGCTTGGAGGTTCGAAGCTGAAAGACTTTGGCTTTGAATGGGCTCTTGCCTCGCGGCTCGAAAGGCGCAACCTTGCAAGGGCTAATGTCATCTTATGCTGGCGAGAAGCTGACCCCCCCAAGCCTCAACCGGATGAGTTTGCCGCTGAGTTGGAAACACTTGTCGCGGGTGACCCACCGGCACCCGTTCGCCCTGCCAGGTTAGACGGAAGATTAAAGGGTGGCAGGTCTGCGGTTGAATCTGGCTTGGTCATCGAATTGTTGAAGCATGATCCAGGAGACGTCCTCACGCTGGAAGTGCAGTTGTTCAACACCATTTTGTTCCATTGCGATGTGCCATCAGGCTGGCGAAAAACAATTTTCACAATGTTGGCCAAAGAAGCAAAAGAATGATGCACGATTTTTTTACCCGCATGATTCTCAAACGTATTGAAAATCTTTTCCATTCTTTTTAGCCTGAAAAGCAACATGGTGTCAGAACAAGGCGCCGCATTGAAGAACACGTGGTAACGGCAAACATCGTTTGGATTGTCGATATCAATGTTTCCAAAGCTTTTGATCGGATTGATTGGGCTGCACTCTGGCCATCTTTGTGGGGACAAGGGGTATCCGAACATTTGATTTGGCTGCTGCAATCTGCGCATCACAATCAAGACGGCGACGTGCGCGGAGATTCCAGTACAAGCCGTTGGTTTAACATATTATTTGGGGGAATCCGTCAGGGTTGTGTCTTGAGTCCGCGATTGCTTTGCGTCCTTCTTCAAGCGGCACTCTCTGAATGGAGGCAATCCGTTGCGTCATTTGGTCTTGAAATTGGTGGTTTGCCAGGATTACTGGATCGCAGATTTGCTGATGATTTGCTGTTGTTTGCAAGATCCGCGCAGGATGCCGCAAAGCTATTGGATGACTTGGTTCGTTGCTGTTCTGGTGTTGGTTTGCGCCTGAACGTCACGAAAACTAAAGTTGTAACCACTGAAGCACAAGCACCCACGCAGTTGTTGACACATGCCGGCAATATCGTGGACATTTTGCCGCCCGATGCGTCACACAATTGGTTGGGCTGTTTGCTGTCCAGCAAAGGTTCAAGAGCATCTTCTGCGGATGTGGACTTTCATTGGCAGGCTGCTTCCAGGGCGTTTTTTGCAAATAGAGAAATTCTTCTTGATCGCAATGCTTGCTTGAAACCGCGGCTTTTAGTTTTCGATGCCATGGTTACCCCTGTAGCCTGTTTCGCAATTGGTCATAGGGCCATTTTTCAGTTTTAATGTTGAGTTCAGGAGGTTTTTACGGCGAATTGTCCGGCCTCCGGCTGACATTCAATGGAACATGCCCTCGCACCTCATTTTGCACCATTGGAATGCGAAAGCAATGCGACACTGGGTACGTCTGCGCCGCCCGACCTGGGGACAAGCTTGTTTGCGGTCTAGTGCTGGCATGGCAATCAGTCGGGAGACCTGTTCTGGGTAAACCCCGCAATATGTGGGCATTTTGTCTCGCGACATTTGCTGGCTGGAAATGATGGGACAGTTGGGAAGCAGCAGCTTTAGACAACAGATTTTGGAATCAGTCGTGCGATGAATTTTGCGAGTTTGTCATCGGGCAAAGAGCCAGATGGATGCAGTTTTTGTAATGCTCATGTTTGTCTCGCCTGTACCCTAAAAGGGACGCCTTCGGGCGATCAGGACTCGACCCGACTCTTACATTTCATTACACTACACTACATTACAGTACATTACATTACACTACATTACATTACGTTACATTACACTACATTACATTACGTTACGTTACGTTACGTTACGTTACATTGCATTAAACTACTTTCCTAGGCGGATTTTTTTTGCAGTCAGCCAAAGCGGTCCCAGTGCAGAACCAAGTCCAGGCCACACGCTCTAGGCAGGCTATGGCATGCGGCTGGCAAATGTTCGGCAGTCGAGTCTGCAAGCAAATCGCTAGGGAGGGGCGAATCTGCTTCAAAGTTGGCAGTGCGGAAGGACAGGAGGCTGGCGGCGAAAGAATGGCCCATCACGTTGCTGCCAGCTGTGCAGCCGCACGGCTTTATTGGGTTTCGCGAGTTGGTCTGTGCGAAGAGGGGCAGCAAGCCTGCCCCACGTGGCGTGCGCTACTGCCACACGTTCGGTCCGTTTCTCCAGCGCTCGCCGCATGCAAATGCTTAGCCCACAACGATCCGACGAGTTTCAGGGATGGCCACCATCATCCGGCGCAGCTCTTTCACTGCAAGAGCTGTCACGCAAGGCGGCGAAAAGATTTTCCAACAAGACAATAGATTTTATAAGAGCGGTGTACAGTCTCAGCGGGGGACATGAATTGCCAACGAATTGCACGGGGCGCTTCAGAATGGAAATGATTGCCAATTGGCGCGGCTAATTTTCGGCGCACGAGATGTTGGTGGCAGTACAGCATTGTGCGCCGTTACTTGCCAATGCCCTGTACCCGATGATGCCGATCCTGCGGCAGTGCATGGCAGAAATGGGGGCCGAAATCTCAGGAGATCTCAGGAGGCTGTATAGAGCGTCGCTCCGTGGACTTTGGCAGCATTGCCCAACAAAAGAGGAGGGAGGTAGGCTGCAACGGTCCAGTCCAGGGGGCTGCAAGGGAAAGCAGGGCGCATGAGCAAGAAACCCAAAGCGGCTGCCGAGAATGTTCAGAACTCCGCCAGCCACCGAGCTCAATACCAAGGACATCCGGGTGCTCAACGACGAGATTGGTGTCACAGAGGGCGGCTGCAAACGTCACGCCCCTTCGTTTGAACGCGCCAGAAATAGGCGATGTCAGCAAAGACCAGGTTGTATGCCGCCAGGGACAAGTATGTATCCCACGATGCCGTGTCTCAACCGGGCTATAGTGCACAAGCGGTGCCAGTAAAGTTTTGGGCATCAGGAGCTCTTACAAATCATGACAGATCTTGTTATGGGAAGTTACCTGGCCAGAAAGCTAAGCATTTAGGCATTGTTACTGGAATTCCGCGTGCTTAGCACTCAGCTTCACGCTGCGGAACCTCTCGTGTCATGGGCATCGCCACCATGTGCCGGCCGAGACTTGCTTGGAAGGGTCTGGGGTCTTGGGCTGCATCAACCTTATCCGTAAGAGACCACGTGTCAAAACCGGGAACGTCGCTCTCCGTAGCTGCTCAAGCTTCATGCCCCATGCAAGGACTCTGGCCAGTTGCCGCTTCCCACACCAGGCCACATGCCGCCGCGGACGCCAATCCACCAGTTGGAGAATTCTACAGCCGCGCTGAAACTCCGCGGACTTGACACCACAGCGTGCGCTCAAGTGCAGCCTGTAGTGTTGAACAACCTGCGGTCAAAAACTGTGAACAGACTTGCGTCACCGCACTTTTTGCCAAACTCTAAGTATAGTAAGTGCTTGAGAATGGGGCATGGCTCAATGTCTTGTTCAAAGCAGCTAGATTTCAGTTATAGGGTATAGCTCTTCAATTCACCAATGTTGATGATACGTGTATAATGTAGTCTAATGCTCGCTCACCTTGGAGACCCTGGTGCCTATGTGAGCTTTGGATCGAAGCTCAGAGCAGTTCCACAGCTCACACCGTATCCCCAGAAGAGCTTGCCCTCAAGGTATTCTGATCTTCTGCACTAGCTTGAACCATACACATGTCATGAAGAAGATCAACTGCAACAATCTAGGTTTCCTCACCCTACACATTCAATTGTGTGAAATCAGTAACTCAATCAAAAGACAGCTATAGTTAGTTACAAGGCACAACATGATCATTCCTGTCAAGTTGATTAATACAAATAAAAAAGGCTTCAGGCAGGAAGCAAAAACGAATCTGGCCCTGAACTTGCGAGACTTTGCGAGACTTGAGACTAAGTTCTGTTTCGGATCTTTGCAGCAAAGCCTTCCGGTCAGGGTCAACCTTGCTGGTAAGGCGACTTCGAGCCAGCAGCCAGTCACTCATCTTCGTACTCCACACCTGACATGTCCTCCAAATCATCCAAGTTTATCTCCGGCTTTTTCTCGTCCTCTGAATCTTTGACAGATTTCGCATCTGCCTGCGGAAGTGGCGGAAGCGGGTGATCTGGAAACAGTTTCACACCCGGCGGCCCAGGACACCAGTGCCCACTGTCCTCAGCTGGGCCTGCATCCTGCAACGACTCTGGCAAGACGCGGATTGCCGCAAGCAGCTTTTCGGCAACACCATTCTCGATGGCAGTTTCCACGCCCAAAAGAGCACCATGCATTGTCTTCCTTCCCTTCGGCACAGTTGAGAGTAGAAGTCGACGGTCCCCTTTTTCAATAGCTTTTTTGAAGTACTCCGCGGCAACTGGGTTGGCACCAGCCTGCTCATGGCAAGATCGCATTAACGGCAACAAGAAGCGCTTCAAGAGACCTGCATGCTCCACACCAAGCCACACTGAATCGTTTGCATAGCAGTCAGCACATACAACATGTTCAGTTTTGCCTCCTCCTCGTCATCATCCTTGGCGCGTCAAACGCACTTGATTCGAGCTGCTGAGTATGACAGCATCTGACCTTAAAGCCCAAACTCTGGGTTCCCATATTCATATCTTCGGCGACGCCGACGAATCTTCTTGGGCTGAAACCTCAGCTGTTCAGGACTCATGCTCAGGCTGCTCAGGCCTCAACCTGCAGCAAAGTCTGACACAAAGTTTCTTCTCAGAAGAAGCTTATCTACTATCCAACTCCACTGTGCCAGATTGATTTTGAGCAGCACATGCAGGATGCGCACCAAGCAAGTCAACTGTTGCCAAAGATGCTGCTCCAAGATGGGCTGCACGTACTGGTCATCAGGATCTGCCTTGGGCTTCTCCTCCTTCTTAGTAAGAGCAGCACAGGCAGATTTCATGAAGCCTGTCAGTTAGTTTCGGGTCAGGCTTATAAAGAGGCACACCAGATTGTTGCGTTCATGAACCGACCAAGCATATCCGCCACGGCACTACATACATACTCACACAACCCTGCTCCCAACGGCCCCAAAGAGCTGCAAGACCCACACGAGCAGAGCTCCTTGAATTCCTGCAGATTCTCCTCCGGCAAAAATCGCAGCTCAAAAGTCTATCCTGCATTTTTCCTTTCTCTATCCATTGCCACTGATGGCTGCTGTGACTGCTTCTGAGTTGTTGCTAAGAAAAGCTCAAGAAGCAAACAAGATGAACAAGACATGAGCCACATGCAGCTACAGGTTTCCGTGCCTGGCAAATGTCCCAACGCGTATCAGCTTCGTCCAAACCTCATCTGCCAAGCTTGATGTCATCCACGCTCAACAACCAACAAGGCAAAGTTGATACTCTGTGCAACGCAAGTAACGTCTTTGTTTTACGTGGGCTTTGCCACATCAATCACAACCCTGTCGTGCATACCCAAGCTGGGCAGCTTCTTCAGACACAACGAGAAACGCGAAGTAGAAACCGCAAAGGGGCAGACACAGCAGAACCAGAAATAGCATGGCAAAGGTGGCAAACTTGCAAAAGCCACAATGCATCTCGAGTGGCCATCAATCATTTCGCCATAGTCCCCAGGAAGAGGTTGCCCCTGAGAGCGTGACTTTTCAGGCTGACACATTTCAAGAGACAGCAACATGCTGAAAAATGTACAGCATTTTGGTGGGGGCAGTGGGCGGTGGGTGTGGTGCTGGTTACAGTAGCGATGGCGGCGGCGGCAGTGGCGGCGGTGACTGTGACGGTGGTGGTGGAGGTGGCAGTCACAGAGGCGGTGGCGGTGCGGCAGTGATGCTGGTGTGGACATGCCGCTGGTGTGGCAATGCTGATGCTGGCGATGGGCTGTGCAGGCGCGTTGTGCTGCTGGTTGTGTTGCTGCTTGTTCTGCCGGTTGTGCTGCGAGTTTGGTGCTTTCAAGCTAACCCCCGCCTGTGGTGGCAAGAGTCTTTCATCCATCATCTCATCTGAGCGAACTGCGTCATCAGACTCCTCTCCTGAGCTCACAGCAGGGAGCTGAAGCCCAGCTCTGCCAGTTTGCTCTCTGTGTTCTCTGTTTGCCGGGCAGCCTGCTGCCAGCTGCGCAGCCTTAGCTTGTCAAGCGGACCTGATTTGCTGCTCATAGAGGGATGCAGGTTTCTCAATAACCTTGACGCTGCCTACAAGGCAACGTCAAATGGAGAAATGACTCACAGGGGCTATCAGGCAAACCGCAGATTTGAGATGCTGTTGCAGTTTGGATTTCGGGGTCGCCAAAAGGCTATCTGACATGCCTTGTTTTTTGTGCTTTCACTATTTACTGTTTGTCTGCTGTGCTCAGCATTCCTCTTGGCAACACGAAGAATAGCCTTGAGAAGAGTGCATCGCTGATGGTGCTGGTGCCTAATGGTCATAACAGTGAAAAGGTAAGCCGGGAAATACAAAAATCCGAGTAGCTGGTTGCAACGAGCCTCATACCAATCATGATGATCATCACCATTCTCTTGGCTTGGGTGGTTACGGTTAGGCTTGGCTTGTCTTCAGGGGGGTGGGAGGGTTACTCGCAACCTCCCACACTGGCCATGAGCAGAACACTCCATAACACTAGAACACTAACAGATAGCGTCATCACAAGTAGAACAAGAAGGAAAGGAAGAATGTTAATGCATTCGCGAAAACAAAGATGAATCATTCAATGATAGTAGCGACGGACCACAAGAAAATCTACTAGCAACCGTCACAAGGGTCATAATGACAGCACTTAGCTGGCGAATAAGACTAAAAATACAATGAGAAAAGTAGTCAAGACTTACAACCACGCCGACCATCCTGCTTTGGCTCGGCAAGTGTAATAGCTCACCTCCCGTCCATTCCCTAATAGTGAATGGTCGATCCATTTCTGCTAAGACAACCATGGACGCATCAGGCGATCAAAAAGATTCTTAATTCCAAGGAGACTTTTTAGAGTGATTCTATCATTTCTGAATCATCTCTGTTCCAAACACCGAAAGAACTTGTGGAAAGTAGGAATATCGAGGAAGCCCTGAATTGCAGCTGTATTGTTTTTAGACTCTTGGATTCATATTCCTGGGAACGAAGCCTTTAAAAACATTTGACGAGTAGAACTTCTACGAAATCCCGCGTTCTCATTCACCTGTCTCTATTATTTCTATCTGCAACTTCCAATACAGAAAACTCAAGACAGACATGCATGGTTTTCTTGAAAATTATGGAAACCCTAACCAATTATGATTCCACGTAGTGGCCCCATACTCTCCAATACAACCCTAATTCAGGATTCACATCATCCTGGCCAATCACTTCACAAGTAGACTGGCCCTTTCAAACGCGATTTCAGGACTTTGTCCATCTTGCTTTATCCGATGGCCGAACGAAAAACAAGAATCCATGACAAAGGAGGGACACAAGTGGGGGCCCCCCACCATCTTCCGAGATCATGTTGTTATTAATCTTATCAGACGCTGCCCTCGCCAGAGACATCGCCCCAATTGTCTTGCTGTTAGGTCAAGGCCCAGGGGGGTTGCCTGATATATCAAGCATGAAATTCAGGTGGCGCCCGCAAGCACATACGTACCTCTAGACCTCCGAAACATCCCAAGAAGTCAGACAGCCAAGCAGGCACGCAGCCATTTGCATAGAAGAAAACTGCATTCACAAAACTGAGCGTCGGACAAAAGGATCCCGGCGTAAAACCATGCAGCGAGGTTTGAAAAACAATGGACACACCCTTGACAAGATGCAGCAGCCAAGCGCCAAGGGACCACGTAGTTCTCAGCACTTTGCTTCATCTCATCATACCTGAAGCCGTCGCAGGGCCGACTGGTTGACAGCTAGACCGAAGCCTATCAAAGCAGCTCGCCTGGCAAGTCATTCTCGGTATCAGCTGGCAAGAAACTAGCTTCACGCAAGAGCTCATATCGAGACTGCAAGTCAGGCTCGAAATGGGGAGTCCCCCCATAATCATTTGATAAGACTACACAATACTTCAAGTTTCTCTCTGGTGCTGGCTGCGTTTTGCTCCGAAGTCTGACGCTCTCTAAAACTGGCGGCCTCGCAACACGTACGTAGACTAACATCAAAGACTAGCAACCCAGCACTGCAAGCAACTGGGATCTGCCCTTTACATTGATGGAATGAGGTCTGAAAGTCTCAGCGAGTGTCAAGTCAGAGTGCCAAGCGACCTGACTCGCTCAGGTGGGGCCCAGCGTGGTACAACTTTTGCAGCCTGGACCAAAAAGCAAAACGCTCGAGCCACGAAAAGTGTCCTCCCCAAACACATGCGGTGCCTGCGCTCTCTTGATGTTTTTCCTTCTTTCCTTCAGTGAGCATGGTGCAAACATTTTAAGCTTGCAGAGCGGAAGGGCAACCCGCCTCGACCTCGCACTTGTGGAGCCACGCTCGTGTGCCCTGCCCGTCTGCAGGTTGGTTGTTGGGGTGCTCGGATTTCTTTCTGAGGCCAAGCTTGGAGCTTGTGGGATCACCATCTATCTTTTGAGATTCGCAGAACCACTGACAGACTTGCGTTCCAAATGACAGCAATGACAACCCTGCAGCAGCTACAACTGCAGGTTCAAGACCGGCATCTTCAACTTGAAACAGTTTGGCTGCCACCACTCCCTAAGCACCAAAAGACAACAAAGCCATGTCGGGCCGGGACGGGTAGTGTGTACTTTCTTCGCTCTGCAAGGTGCCCATATGGATCCTTAGATGCCCACAACCACAAGATCAATGTCTTTAGCTTGGCTGTCTCATTAAAGCGGTGCTGTCGCCTGGGGCAAGATTCTCGTGAGATCATACCATTACTGCACGAAGGCAATCTGCGACGAAACACCATTTAGAAACACAAGAAATGCAATGCTACTGCTCAAATGCCGGCCAATTTCAAAGAAAAGGTTGCGATAGGATGCCCTCGTCCCAACTGAGACATGGCCATCTTGGAGAAGTGTCGCGATGATCCTTGCTGACCATGGAAAGCTCACGAAGGACGCATGCTCGACAACGTGCTAAAAAATCCACCTACGGCCCTGCGGCGTCTTGGTCGGGTATGTGTCATCCAATCAGCCAAGTCCCAATTTGTTGTATGGCTCCAAAGATCTCGTCGAGAATCTTACTAGTCGGTTAAGGCTAGAGTTCGTGTAGGAAAAGTTCCCTGTACAACACCGCCGCTAAGTCTCTACTGCGGCCGCCCCGCCCGTCACGCACCCAGTCCCCTTTCGGGGCTGGGCCCTCGAGCGGTGAAATTACTTCCTCTGACCATCAGACTCCATGAATCTCACACGGGGCGCTTGTGGTACTCTGCGAAGATCTCCCTCTCGCAGCACATGCTTCGTAGCTCCTGAGGGGGAAGCATTTTGCGTCGTGGTCTTGAAAGGGGCGGAAAGGTTGGATGAACAGAAGACTGAAGACTGGTCCGCAAAATAAACTTACCACACTTTCACGTCCATGTGCCCTGATTTCTCTCGCTGAAGCCCTCTGAAGTAAGCTGAAGCACTGCCAATTGCTCCAAGACATGGAGGCTCATTGGAATGGCGTAGGTTTGCCTTGGGGAGCTTCCAATGAGGCACGTTCTTCCGTGGGGCATCTGAGGAGCTGTTGGAAACACAGGCTGTGAGAAGAGTGTAGCACACTGGCACAGGTTCAGGCTATGCAATTGCGAAATTCATGACTG